ATAATGGAAGCATTATGTAAATTATTCATATTTTTCTGTCATGAACTGTACTGTTTCATCATTTTGAAATACATTTACATTTTAAGGATTCTAAGTATTTCTGTATCCACATAGAAGAATCAATTAATGTAAAATATTTTCTGCTAAATCAACATGTATAAACAATAATATTTGGTTTGGACAAGAGTTACAGTGATCATTTGAAATGACATAGGAACTAATCAATTTCTCTTTTTACAACAAGATTCTAAGTTAAAGAGCAGCCGCTGAAATTAAGAAAAGGTATTCACTCTCATACGTTTAAGTTTCGGATGGTTTTCAACATATGGATAGGCACCTAGAGTTCACCACATATTTTAGTATACACATTTCGAAACTAAAAGTTATAATTTTCAGTTATTGTTTCTGACATGCTTGCTTGTTTTTTTTCGCTCCCGACTGCCTTTTATTCTCAAACGACATAGGTTTCATCTTGTGATAACTTCATAAATGGAACATTCTATTTAAAACATCTTTGTGTAACTGTGTATTCGAGGTTCAGTCGAATGTGAGGCATAGATTGTCCATTCCAAATCCAGTTCCGTTTCCAGTTACATAAGGATTCTGAGTACCACCGTACGGTATCCAACTAAACGTATCAAAAGGTCCCCAGCCAATTAATGTCCATATCGTACCATTGAAAACAGTCGCATACGTCACTGCGGCGCTCCCAATCACGATCCCATTTCTATATCCAACAAACTGCATTTGTAAGGAATCATACCAAGCAGCAGCGATTATGAAGGAGTTTATTGTAAACAATGTCCCATTAGTCGTGCCAATAGTCATCGTTCCTCCATCACTGTTAATAGCTACGTAGTCTGGAGTAGACCGAGCTGTTTGGTAACCGCTATTTGGCACTGTTGAGCTATTTAGATAGTCTGCATTTGTCCAGTTCAAATTTTTATAGCCATGCGGTATCGGTCCTTGAGTACTGCTAGCACCCGGTATGTCGTCAAATGTTGCGAATGTAAGACACACTACAAAATCGTAATAGGTGAGCAGATGAATTCTAACATATCAATCCACTTACCAGGCTGCGTTGTGGTAGATGAACTCATGGTTGTTGAGATAGATGAACTCATGGTTGTTGAGATAGATGAACTCATGGTTGTTGAGATAGATGAACTCGTGTTTGTTGAAATAGATGAATTCGTCGTTGTTGAGTTAGCTAAATAGATGGTGAACGCGTATTTGACCAGAAATTAGACAAAACGCGTACTAGTGAATTACCGCGGCAGTTGTGTTAAAAACAATTGTAACAGAAAGTGCTCAAGTGATGATGACTTATAGTGATTTAAACTACTTTACCCGATGCAACAGTACTTGATGAATCGTTTGAGTTTTTGCTCGTTATTACTGCTAGTGGGATGGCTATTGATGCAGCGAATAATAACAATACGATTAATCCAGTACAACATTGCCATAAACTAAACGCTCCACAGCGATAACTAAAAAAGCAAATTGCATCTAAATGTATCACAGTCATTATGAGTACCTTTTAACTTACCGAGTTCTTGAATGAACTGATACTTCGTCCCATTCAAATAGACTCGGCGATGGTGACGGTGTTAAACTCTATAATCAATGTCGTTACATTTCTGATCACATTTTTCTTACAGAAACCTTACGATTGAAGATGTTGGTGTTGTGCGAATAGTATCAATTATAATTGGTCTTTGTCCCGCTAGGCGATTTGGCTGGTAATAACGACGTGATGTAACTTGTTGAGGGTAGCGAGATGGCTCCATAGAAAACACTTTTGTTGAACTATAGAAAAGCAAGTGTCGCTGTAACAGAAGCCGTCTTTTATACATAGCATTTTTAATCTATTATTCTATCGATGGAAAATCATACCTTTATATGATTAAAGTCTGACTATCTGATAAGTTTCCTATATCGGCACTGTCTTCACAGATTCTAATAAACTGGAGATCAAACCTCTAGATATATGTGCAGTAATTAAAGTAAAGAGACAGAACAAAGTTGTTCAATATATTGCTATTATTTCAGA